AAGATGTCTCTGCAGTGCCAGAGGAGCACAATCTGGAGAGGCTTTCCTCTACTTGTGCTGCACTCAGCACTGCATGTCCTGGAGCAGCTCCTCCCTGAGCTCATGCAATGTTCTGTTTGTGCATCTCCCAGCAAGACAGAGCTGTTTGGACACAGCATTACCCCCAAACCAACCCACTGACACCATCTCCTCTTCTTCCAGAATGTAACGCAAGCTGTAGAAGAAAAACCAGAGCCTCCAACTGTTGAGGAGATCAAAGAGAAGATCGAAAAATACAATGCAAAAGTTACAAACTGCCTGCTGATGAAGCTGGTAGGTATTGCTCCCATGTTCATCTCAGCTGGGAATGTTCACCCATATCTCTCAGTGATAGCTGAGAGCCACTTGCCACCAACAGATAGGGGTGGGTTTCCATTGCAGGCTTGTTCCCATAAGTAAAGCTGTGAGGATGCACAGTGAAAAGCAGGATCTGATTTACAAAGCAAAGTGCCACAGAAGTGCAAATTTGAGATGCTCTCACAGAGCAGTGGGAAAGGCTTTGTGAAACACCAGACTAAATCGCAGAGCTTCCACAAACAGCAGCTCTGTAACCTCCTGCTGGTGTCTGAAAATCAACCTAAAGTTTATTTAAAATAGTCAAGATTAGAACAGTTTCTAACCAGCTGATCTTGAGCTATGGATTATTACATAGAGAAGTGAAAATCCTCTAATGGGGGGGTTAAAAACATGACATTCCACTGCGCATGAGGGGTTCCCAGAGCTTTAAAACCCTCATTTAACTGTAATTTATGATAGTTTCCATAGCCAACTTGTAGCAGTGTTGATGTAAAGTAAGAGAAGACAGCACAGCTCTAGGAGGAGGTGAGTCACCGTGGAGTGGAAGGAACAGAAAGAAATCAGCAGTGACTAACCGTAAATCACCAGTTGCTTCTTGCATCGTGGCCAGAAGCCCCAAAGCTGTGCAGAGCAGCGTCACCCACCCACCACTGTGTGTCCATTTGCAGAGTGATGATGGGACCTACACAGGTTTCATCAAGGTGCACCTGAAGCTGCGCCGCCCGGTGACGGTGCCGGCGGGGATCCGACCGCAGTCCATCTATGATGCCCTCAAGGAGGTGAACCTGGCAGAAACCACGGACAGGAGGACGTCCTTCTACCTGCCTCTGGATGCCATCAAGCAGCTGCACATCAGCAGCACGACCACGGTGAGCGAGGTGATCCAGGGGCTGCTGAAGAAGTTCATGGTGGTGGATAACCCGCAGAAGTTCGCGCTGTTCAAGGAGATGCGGAAGGATGGGCAAGGTGAGTTTGTAGGGCCCCAAAATGGCTCAGGTTGGAAAAAGCCTCAGAGATCCCCCAAACCCAACCCATCCCACCACGTTTTGGCGTCACATCTCCGCGTTCCCTGAACACCTCCAGGGATGGTGACTCCTTCACTCCCTGGGCAGCTGTGCCACAGCATCACCACTCTTTCAGAGAAGGAATTTTCCCTCGTATCCAACCTGACCCTCCATCCCAGTGCCCTCAACCACTCCCATGCCCCCAAGACCCAACACAGATCACTGATAGATGCTCGGTGCCTTGACAACAACCCTGAGCAGCACAGCCTGCTCCCAAAGCCCACGCCACTGTTCCAAGCCTCCCTCCGGGCTCTGCAGGGCTCACAATGCTGTCTGCTGTCCCCTGCAGTCCTCCTGCAGAAGCTGCCCCTCACTGAATTCCCGCTGTACCTGCGGCTGCTGGCTGGCCCTGACACTGATGTGCTCAGTTTTGTGCTGAAGGAGAACGAGACCGGGGAGGTGGAGGTAGGTCTGGGGCTCCTTCCCTTGGTTTGTGCATGAACGTGTATTTTTTGGCGATGGGATGGACCTGCAGGTCCCAGCAGGAGTGAGCCAGGCTTCTCCCCCCTCTAATACTGTTGGTTTTACTCCTAAAGTGTTGTTTGATTCCAGCTGTTCCCCAAACTTAGCAGACTGCTTGTGTCTTGCTTTGAGAAAATACATCTCTGGGTTTGTTTGCTTTCTGGATTGCACTGATTTAAAAATAAATCCTGCCATCTATTTACAGTGATATCCCAGAGTTAAACCTCGGTAATCAGATTCAGCTAAATGCTGCCATAAGTAATCCATGAGTTTAAATAGAAGCTTGGGATGCCCAGGTGATGAAGCATTATGCCATGGCAGTGCTCCCTGCTGGGACTCATTCAGATGTCAGCGCCTGCCTGGGAGCTTTCATTCATCCAAGCACGGATTCCTACTGAATCCATGGCTGTTGTGGGCTGAGCTGGGTTGGTCCTACACGGCTCCTTGTCCTGGTGCTCTCACAAGGATGCTTGGAGGTTATGCTCCCTGCGGATCAGCATGCATTGATCCTCTACAGATTCAGGAAAAAGCTGCAAAAGCCACAGGGTGAATTACGTGCGCTCACTTTGCCTCTGCTTTGCCGTTCCTGCAGTGGGATGCGTTCTCCATCCCAGAGCTACAAAACTTCTTAATGATCCTGGACAAAGAAGAGAAAGATAAAATCCAGCAAGTGAAAAGGAAGTATGAGAAGTTCAAACAGAGACTGCAGCAGAGCTTGAAAGAGGCTGGAGACAAACCTGGCTAACCCTCAGTGCACACCGGCAGTCAGACTAAGCTACGCGTGGTTCTTAAAAAGAACAGACTCTTCTCAGGACACCTTTTGGTGGTCACCCTTCCTCTTCATCCCTCCATTAAGGACGTAGCACCCATTCCATGGACGTGTTGTGTTTCCTTCTTTTGAAACCTCGTACCCCAGGACCAGAGCCAGCCCAACAACAGGACGCCGGCACCAGAACTGCTGGGGTGCGCTGAGCAGCTCTGTGGGCAACGCTGAACCCAGCAGGAAGAGCAGGCTGAGCTGCTCACGCTCCTCCCAGCAGCTCTCTTGCTACGGCTCTGCAGTTGCATTGCGTGTGCCCACGTGGCCCAGTTCTCATTTCTTAAGCAGGGCACAGGAAGGAGCAGACAACACAGAGGTTGGTGCGCCGACCCATGCGGGTGTTGCAGCTGTAACCGATGCCAGACAGACTTGTTCAAGGCTGAGGTGGGAAATGCAGTCGTGGCAGCTGCAGCACCCTGATAGTCCTTCGGTAAGTGATATTCAATCCAGGGAAAGTCATTTATTTTGTTGCTAATTAATTTCAAAAAGAGACTTGAATTTGAGCAAATATCCATGATGCTTAGCTGAGCTAGCCTGTGTGTTAGGAGTTTTCTACTCTGTAGGAATTGGGACCTATGTTTTAAGAGAAAAGCATGAAGATGGGGGTGTGGGATGGTGGTTCTGCATAGAACCCTGAGCAATACACAGCCAGCAGACGATTGCAGGGAAGCTCAAAGCCCTCTTTCACCAATCAGACCCATTTTGGGCTGTGAAGGGGTCTGGCAGGAGGGAGAGGAGCTCCAACCCAGGCTGGCTTGTGGACGTGTCCACAGCAGTGTCTGTGCAGGAGATCCTTAGCACCAGAAAGAGCAAGGAGACCACAAACCTGAGATGCTTTCCTGCCACCACCCCCTTGCACCATGCCTCCTCTTGCTGATCCCCCACCCCCGTGCTGCTCTCCACCTCTTTTCTCCCTTCCTAGTGCAAGGAATGCTATGGGGACGCCAATCCCAGAGGCGATTTCCCCACCTTTACTTTCAGCACTTTGTACTGAGCACACTGCACGTTCCATCTTCCCTCTGTTCAGAGGACAGTGCAGCACAGAGTGAAAAGTGAACATGAAAACTAGCTGGATACAGATGGAGCATGTGAAATGCTCCTGGTGACCCGAGTGTCTCCCACTTATGCGAAGTAGAAAGGAGCAGGTTATTAGGGAACAGATGATGGAGACAACTTGGAAGAGTCTAAAATTTACCTCAGTGCCTTTTATTTTTCCTGAAGTGTGAAAACTTTACATTTGGGTTAAAGAGGAGGTTGGAAGGGGCTTTTGCCAAGGCCTTGGCAGTGCTCCCCCAGGTCCCTGCAGGCTGCTTTTATCCAGAGAGAGAAGAGGAGCTGTTGTTCCTTTCTGCAAGATGACTGCTTGGCTTTTCTTCCCCCCCCCCCCCCCCAGATTTATACTTGAGTATGCTTGTTTATAAAGGTATGAGAGTAACTGCATCACTTACAGCCCTCACTTGGTACAAATGCCACTTGGTGCAAGCTCAGTTCCAGCCCTTGCCTTACTCAGTGGTGTAAAAGGGTTTCCAGGCGAGGCTCCAGCCACTGCCACACGCTGCAGGAAGGGCCTCCCAGCTGTACTGTATTCTCTACCCAGATGACCTTTAACAGCGTGGCAGCAGCCCAAATAGAGCAGTAATTTTCATGCTCTGGGGCTGCTTGCCTGTTTATAAAGATACTTATTACTTTGCTATGCACTTGTGAAGTAATTTAAGTAACATTTATCCACTGCTTTGAGTCTCGAAAGCACTGTACAAATACTTCTGTTCAGTCGAGTGTAAGAACACTGTAGAAACTGCCTCTGGTTCTGAGAAACAAGACCCAGATGCTCGCTTTCAAATCCCTTATCTTTCTGGCTATAAGTTTCAAAAAGATTGCTATTATTTTTCCTGGTTGCTGTTGTCTTCTACTCGAGTTCTGGTGACCATCTCCCCTTCCCTTCTTGGAACCCAGCATGTCTTTGACATTCTGTAGAAGGCATGGCTTCTTATGCAATTACTGTGAATGCTGCTGAAAACCTCCTGCAAAGAGGAGGGTTTTTTTCTTTCTTTCTTTCTTTCTTTTCAAAGATGTGGGGCATTGGAAGTGGTAGATATTGAAACTCAGCTTCCCAGCAGTCAGTTGTGTCCAGGACAGGCATATTGGGCCCCTTCCTTACGCTGAGTACTGTTGGCAGTGCCTTTGGTTGTGTTGTCTCTGCCTTGTTTGTGTGACTTTATTTCTCCTGGCTCTTGTAAAACATGTAAAATAATGTGTATAGAACAGAACGAGCAAAGCTTCTATGGCAAAGTGAAATGCATTTTTTGCGATGCTGTAATTTATTTTTATTACTCCTTAGGAATTCTATGGCATTTTTAAAAAATGTCTCACTCCCAGCTTTTTTTTTTTTTTTTGAAGGTTCTGAAACTACTTATTCATATGCAGACAGTGTAAAAGACAACGACAATAAAACTGTCACTAATTAAAATAATTAAATCTCTGACTTATTTTTCTGGCGCCCTCTTATGGCATTTTCTTGCCTTGAATCTAAAGGCAAAATATGGGAGTCCTTCCAGAATTGAATGTGAAGTCTAAACTTCAATGAAAGCAGCACAGAGCATCTAATTCTGAGAATCCAAGTGTTCCATTAATTGTCTTTAGTATTTATTAGTATTAATTTGTCTCTTGTATTTAGATGGCTTTGACAGAGCTACTACCTCTCATAAGCTGCAGTTAACGTTATACATGCAAGTAAGAGTTTGCTCTGCACCCTGGAATGTCTTCATATCAATACCTGGAAGTGTTTACAGGGATGACATCTAAGCCAAATGCTTTTTTATGTGACACAAATGCTCTATGGCACAATGTCCTGGAACATTCTGGATGAGGTGCTATCACAGTGCTTTGGTTCCAAAGGTGGTAAGTAAGAATTTCAGGCTGGCTGTGAGGTTCTATAGCAAAAAAAAAAATGGGATGCCCATATATTGGAAAATATATGGAAAAGGATAAAGCTATTATTATTTTTTTTTTCAGCTTTTTATTCTTATGAAAAACGATCACTTAGAGCAACATTATTATTTGGGATAATCCCAGCCCATGTAGAAATGCAGGGCTTTGAATGAATAAGGCCTGTACACAACCTTGATCTGTTGGCAGGACGTTTCTATAAATAATGAGAGCTGATTAATTCTTACAATAGATTTTTCTCCTACTTTTTCCGGCCGAGCTTTGGAGCCTTCTCAAGGCCTTGGATGTATTTCCGAGGTAGTTGGTATTCTTCTGCAACATAAAGAAGAGTTCATTTTAGGTAACAATGAAATTACTAACTAGAATCTGTATCTTGCTATAACTAGTCCAAGCCCTGGTCCAGAACAGACTTACCTAGCAGCATCTTGGCCAGATGATGGACTTGGTTGCCTTGGATCTGGACCTGAACTCTGTCTTTTGCTCCAGGCACTGGGGTGACGGTGGTGCTGGCCTGAACTTTCTGTTGTAGAATATTGGCCACACACTGGGGGTCTAAACCATACAGCTCGAGGTTCCTGATGATTGTCACCTGAAGGTTCCAGCAACGATTGCAGACTGTCAGCATTAATACATTGCACCCCATTCATCCCAGAAAAGCAAGCTGCCCTCAGAATCAGGACTCGTTCATATCCCACCTTTTTGTCTCTCTTCTTACCTTCTTGTTTGACGACCTCTGTGCAGTGGTTATGTCAATGGGCTCAATGTTTCCTTTCCTCACAATAGGTTCTTGTCCACAAAATGTCACCTGGTGTAAGGGCTGCAGACGCTCGAGGCACCTGAACAAAGTTTATAGATCCACTTGGTCTACACAGCACAGCAGGACTGATGTGAACTGTGTTTCTTCTGCTGCAGCCTAACACAGGTTTTTGAGACTATTAGTTTAGAACTGCATGGCCAAGAAAGAGCTTGAACATAAGAGCAGGAGGACTACTACTGCCTAAAGAGGGCATGTTCACCTATCTGCTGCAAACAATAGCTTCACAGATATGTATTTACAGATCGTACAGAGAATCAGGCAGTGCCTGTTTAGACATCTTTTCCTGATAGTTAGCATGTCAACAAAACCAGAAAGCAACATCAGTTACTGACAGATGGTGGTTAAATGGTGAAGAATGAGGTAGGATTGAAGTGAAGGTCTCTGGATGTTTTCTGTATCACCAGGAGGAAGTTACAACTCCAGTAACTCCAATAACACAGGGCTTTGACCTTGTGATAAACTTGACATAATGTGTTTCAGTATCACACAGAATTATCACAATGGAAAAACAGTCACCTGCTCACAAGGTCATCCCACTTCAGGTGTGAGATTTCATCTTGCTCTGATTTATCCAGCAGGCAGTCACACAGAATGGCATTGACTTTCACAAAGCTGTAAAAGAAAAACATGCATTAGGAGAAAACAAATTCACTTCTTGTTTCATATTCAGCATCTCCTGTGGAAGCAAGGTAGGACAGCTTTTTTTTGTATACTCACTTCTTGTTTGTTTCATCAACCAACTCGTTAGTCTTCACGTAGTTAATGATGATGTTTCTCACCTCGCTGCTTGAGAGGATGCTTCCTTTTCTAAACAGAAAGAAAACTTGATTGCTTCCCCTTCAAAGCAAACAAAATGGCAGCAACACAAGTTTGTTAGCCTATCTCTTAGCCCAACAATTGATTTTAGTGCATTTTTCCAGTGCTCACCTGTGTCCAGAGTCCTGAAAGAGTGGCACCATCTTTGCTGAGACCCCATACAGAGGAATGATTTCAGGAGCACGGTATACTTGTTCCCTGTCTTCACTCTTGCTGTCTTGGGCAGCAGAGGCTGAAGAAAATCCTTCAGGTACTGCAAATGCTTTAATGCTGGGGGAAAAAAAAACCCCAATGTTATTTGGTGGGAATAAGAGGTTGAAATAAGCTGAGCTTGAGTGTAACTGTGCCTCCTAATGACAAGGTTGAGGATGATGAAAGGAAAGTTAATGCAAAAAGTCAAATTCTGCTTCTTTCCAAATGCAGAAGATATGTTTGCATCTACCAAAATATTCCCCAGCCCATCAGTTGCCAAGGAGATGTTACATAACAGCAGAACTCAGACCCAATGGGAAATTCCAAGAGAGAGCTTACTGTGCTGATATGCAAGAGGAAGGAATCTGGTTCTGGATATAACTATTAATCCTTAAAGAGAGCTGATAATCAGGTAATAAGCAATTAAAGAGGTATTTGTGTGAATCAGTGTGTAAGGTGAAACAGTTCTTAAGGTTATAACTGGCTGCTGATCTGACAAAGTGGCTGATTTGATCCTGTGTAACATTTTAAGGCTGTAGTTTCATGGGCATTTGTGCTGCAGCAGTGTCATCTTCTCACTGGGGTTATTTTTCAGACAGATAAGTTCACTTCAAAGCTGAACAAAGAATTGTCCCAGCAGATAGATGGGACTGGGAGACCTGCTTAAATAGGAAAGGCATAAGGCAGTCATACCATGAGACTCAGTGTTAAATAGCTAGGAAAATGCCTGATGGATATAAAGCTTTCTTCCCCTCCCACTAAAAAAAGCCCCATACAAGTTATCAAGACTCACTGTCAAAGGAATGTGCTTTTTACTGACTGCTAACAAAGGTTATAATAGGTAACAAATGGAGACAGATGATTCTGCTCCTTCTTTTCAAGGGCTGTCACCTCTTTCAAAGACCATAATATTCTACATACTCTGGATGCTTCCAGTCCACCTCCACAATGCTTTCCACGCCCTTGGTCAGCTCCTTCACTTGTAAGATCTTCTGGTGCTGCATACTTTGCAGGAATTTAGAAAACTGAGAAAACAACCATCAGAAAAGTGGAGTTGAGCATTTTAAATCCCTCTTTGTATTTCTGACTGCCCAAAAATTACTTGCTAAATCAGAAGAACTTATTTTGGTGGGGCTCGGGGGGAGGAAACCCAGCACTTTGCTTCTCCAACCACAGCAATTACTAAAGAATAGTGCGTGCCTCCATCATGCCCTAAAACAGAATTAGCAAGTGTTCCTTTTGTAGGTCTGCCACCTGTTTGCTCTGTGACCTTGGCCAAATCACACTGTGTCACATGGATTGCCGTGACATCTTTGGCAACAGGCTTTGGCCTTGCCTGTCATCTCCACTCTTTTCATCTTTGTTCATTAATAGCTTCAGAAAAGGAATGATCCCTCCTTGCAAGAAACTGCAGTGTCCAACAAGATCAGAGCCTTTAACAGCTATCACAGTACAAATGCCAGACAGCATTAGATAGGTTCAAAGAAGTGCTCATGCTTTCTGGACAATAATTTTCTTCCCTTGAGCTCTCAGGAGCAGAGAGCTGAGTAAAAGAACCTGGCTTTCAGGAACAGCTTACAGGATTTTTCTGTTTTATTAACACTTCAACATTTTTATCTCTTCCTACTTATTTCAAGTAACCTTTTTCCTTTTCAATAAAGGAAAAAAAAGAAGAATAACCAGGAAAATCTCACCTTCTTATAGCTTGACTTCTTTATATCCAACTGCTGTCCAGCAGGGCTATAATGGATTTTTAAAAACAGTTCTTCAGTTTTAGGTACTCCTCATTTCTTTGTAAAGCTTCCTACTTGAAATTGTCTTAACAGCAAAAATATGAGCTCCACACAGAATTACTTCAAACAAACTACCAGACAGAACATGATGAGTTCAACTAGCACTGATGCTCCCATAGGGAAGCAAAGAGCCACTTAAGTGATCAAGAAATCCTTAAACAATCGTTAGCTATTAAATGCATATCCTGGTTTCAATCATACAAACACCTTGATGTAAGAAGCATATTCTTAGGTAACCTTAGAAATAAGGACTGGATTTTACTTTTGAAACAAAAACCTCAGCCCAAATATTCTATTCTAAATATTCCACTCTTTCTTGCAACCCCAAAGACTCTTCTTACCACATACCAGCATGAGAACATATGGCTGCGTAGAAATGTGCTGGTGAGCAGAGGGAGGTCTGACTTCTTCACTTTGCATTTTAAAGCATGAAAAAAGCACTGATTAAATAATGCATCCATTTGCTCTGTAGGGAAGAAAAGGACAAGTATGCAGTGAGCAGCCTCTCCTTTATAACACAATGCTCAGCTTCAGCCCACAGAACTCTATCCTGTACTCTGTGCTGTCTAGGATGCACAGTAACCTAGATCATGGATACCAGCTTCAGCAAACAAAAGCTGCTGGGTTTGGATCCATTTGCATGCAAAAGTACCTTGTGGTGTCCTGCTGTCCTCTGCATCCTGCTGAGCCCCTGTGCTACCATCCTCAGCTGGTTCTGCAGCTCTGTTCTCATTGAGTTCCTCCTTTCCCATCACTACTGCACAACTATTTTGCTCCTTCAGGCTCAAATCACCAATGTTCACATGCTGTGGTGTGTCAGTGGAGAACCTGCTGCCAGGCTTTTTCCCCTCCACCTCTTCCTCGTTTTCAGCATTCTCCTTTTCAGCAGGATCTGCTACCAAGGGAGCTAAGGTAGGAGGACAAGATTTGTCACCATATTCCCTAAAAAAGGAAGGAAAAGCATTATGCAGCTTTCTGTTTAATGCTTGGAAACCCGTAGGACAGTAATACTCATAAATGCTCCCAGATAAAAGGCATGGGGAGTCGTATGGATCTTAAACTGTAAGATTTATTTCCACATCTGTTGGACAGACCTCAGGACAGGGAACTGCTTCTGTCAGAAAAGTGTGGTCATCAAACACACGTAGCACAGTTGAAGCCTTAACAGAGGTCACATCTCAGCTGTATCCAAACAATGAATGATCCAACTGACTGGGACACAGCTTTGATTTTAGTAAGACTTGTCACATGTTCTACAAAATGCCTGCAGATACACTCACCAGAGATGATCCATGTAAGTATGCAACACAGCAAAGCCCTTGCCTTTCATTCCAGCAGCCAGCATCTCTGTGGTGGACATAGCAGCAGCTGCAACTGCTACAGGAGCTCTGGGGAAACACAGCAACATTACAGCAGGACACCACAAACACAACTGTGCTACTTGAACAAAAGAACACTGCCCCTGTGATATACTGGGATTGTTTTACAATGTCCTTGTTCTTTAAAGCCACGCAGGCATTTTTGGGTTTTGTCCCTTCTCTCTGGTATGTAAGATCTTTCAAAGAATCCCAAGGATGTGTGCAGTTGTGCTACTGCAGTGACAGGTGGGCAGTGATGCATTCTTCCTTTTAAGAAAGCACAAGGAGCACAGGCACTGCTAAAAAGAGACCTGGGTGGAGGGAGAGAAATACAGCTTTAATGCTGTTCCCTCTTTCTGAGCCTTCATGCAGACAAGAAGACAGCTGTGTAGATTACAATCTTATGTAGAAACTGCTGTTTTGAAAGAAATCCACCAGGTCTCAGCTCCAAGAGAACAAATTTGCGTGGCTTTCCACCTGAGCTCAAACACATCCCAACCCAGAAATGTAACTGCATTTTTTTTTGTGCTGAACTTTTCACTGTTCAGGTCCACAGTCCATCAAATGCGTGAGAATAATTCTGCTTCTATTCCCCCAGAAGCCCCAGAGTTTCCACGTTAAAAACAGTTTTCCTTTCAGTGTTAGTTTCTAAGAAGAGATGGGAATAAGGAGTGCTCTGTACCTGTTTCCCAGGAGGGTGACAGCACAGAGCGTGCCTCGCTCTACTTGTGGAAAGCCAGAAGATGGCACTACAACCCCTGGCAGCATCAGATCTGAGGACAACAAAGCATCCATTTCTCAATGAAAGATTCAGCCACGACCTCCTCCACCCCCACCCCTTCTGTTACTCAGCAAAAAACACAGCCTGCTAATCGCTGAGTACATGCCAGAGAAAATATCGTTGTCTGTTTCCCCTAGTAAGTTAGCACTTCTTGTTACCACCCTGTGGAATAGGGGATTCAATTTGGTGTGCACATCCTAAAGCACAGCAGAAGAGCTATACGTGCTCAGTCCCCTGCCTTGTCAGGCACAAAGAAGGTAATCTTCTAACAAAAAGGAATAAGCTCTCAGCTTAGATAGCATTGATGACAAGGAAAAAGAAAGGAATGAGAACATACATGCAAAAAAAACACCCATTTATTCTGCCCTGCCCCAAGGCAGAGCTCTCTCTTTGCTAAAATTTGCCACTGATGACCCAACCACCCTGACCTGACAGCAGCTGCACTCAGTTGTGAGCTCTCCTCAGCAGGAGGAAGTTGCCTTCACCACTCCTTGCTAATCTGGACAGAAACAAGTGGACCTTGCTGTGTGATTTGTTCTGCTTTCCATGCCTGGGATGAACAGACTAGCACGTGAGTAAAACCATGTTCCATGCCTCATGTGTGGCATCATGTCTTCATTAAATTATATTAAAATCATCTACTCTCCCTCATAGCAGCTGCAGTTCTCTAGACCTTGCAGTTCCATGGACTGACCTGTGCTCCATACATTGATCTCACTTTTCTCTCAGCATCTTAGATGTCATCTGCATGCTGAGAGGCCAGCAATATTCTTCCTCCCATTCACTTTCAGCAAACCCAGACTGAACTCTGCAATTGCAGGCAAGGCTCCACATCTCCAGGGACAGAAATCATGCAAAAATCTTAAAGTGACAAGGTAACCAGCTGTGTGCATCGTGTAAATAACCAGGGCAGGCAGTGAGGCCTTCGAATTCAAGGCACAGATGCCATGAATAGCACTGCCTTCCTTCTCTTTGTAACTGATTGCTTCCTCAAGTCTGCTCCATCCCTCTGTGTCTGCAGTCTGGACAGTCTCACACCTTTCCTCCCATTTCTATGACAGGGCTCAATCTTTGCTTTCTGCCTTTGCTGGCCATTGTCTCCATGGCCAGTTTCTTATCTTTGGATCATACCCAGCAGTAGCCTGGTTGCCATGGGAGATGAATGACCTGCAGCCCTCTTTCATCAATGTTCTTCTCCTGTTAACAAGACTTTTTTTCCCCCAGAAACTAGGTCACTACAAGCCAACAACAAAGCTTGCTCAGATGTTTATCATAGCTACGCACTTATACACTTTATTTTCCCAAGAGCAGAGTGAACAGAGCGACTTGTCTGCTTCTCTAGATAGTGTGTAATGGAAAAAAGACATCTATTTCTACACGTACACTTCCATTTATAGATTAAAGCTGCAATGGCTGGAATTCAATCTTTTTCTGGTTGAACAGTTCTGCTGTTTCAGGTTTATAAAGGCCTGACTCTTACGCATCTGAACTGCATCCAAAGCAGATGCCAGAAAATAGATTCATTTCTTGTTAGTCTTGATCCGTAAGTAGCTGGTAGAGCCAGTACTCCAGCAATTCAAATCCAACCTCATCTGCAATCCACAGTTTACCTGACAGTGATTAAAACTGTAGGTTCCAGTACAAACTCACTCTCCATAGGATAAGCAAGCTCACCTCTGAACTGACAGGACCCAGAGCGGCAGCAGATGGAGTCAGCTGCCCAAGGAAAGCTAAAAAAAACCCCACAGAGCAGTGACACAGGCTTTTCAGTGTCCCAGTTCACAGTCACTGATCAAGTTTACACCCTGAAGAGGCATTTCCAAATCCGAGACTCTCAAATGGAACAGATTACTGCATTTAAACAGCTTAACCTACTTTGGTTCATTCACAAACTTATCTGCTGCTGATTTATTTTCCGTTTCAGGAGATCAAGGTGAATTACTTTGTGCCTTAGTATTCTTTATACTTTCTCGCTGTTTCAGGTCTCACTGGGAAATAATATCACCAAAAATCCCTGAAGGCAAATCCTATCTGCAATGGGATGTGACAAAGTTCTGATCCTCTTACCTGCTCCTCCTGCTAACTTCTGTAGCACAGGGGGCCATGTTGAAAAAGCAGGGAGAAGATCTGGGTAGACCCACAAAGTATACACTGTGCCAAAACAGAAGAAAATTTGAAGAGGTATCATTAAAAAAAGCTAGCTGCTGCTTCTTACCATCTTGAAGACTAAACAGGACCATGCTAACCGCAAGGTCTGCAAGGTCAGAACAACCCTACAGTCATTAGAAAATAGAGAAAAAAAACAGCTATTTAATTCACGATTCTGTGAATTACTATAAAGATGATCCCTTGAATTATCTTCTGTAACTCATGGGCACTTTGACCTGATCTGCTACTCCAACAGGGAAGAATTTCTGGATAGGGATAAAACAAAAACACAGAGTTATCTATCAGAGCAGCTTGTTAGCTAATTCCAGGGCTGCCTGGATGTGGATGCGATACTTGCTGATACCAAGTGAACAACAGAAGGATGAGAGGTGAGGATGCAAAGCTGTGGCTGAATTGTTTCCTGGTTCCTAACCTCTCAGAGCCTCCATTCTGCAAGAATCTCACTGGATTTCACACCGATGCCAGCAGAATAAACACAATAAAGTGTGCAGATGAGGTGCAATGGGAGAGGTGTAAGCACTTAAGCAAGGGGGGGAAATCCAGGTTTGTATTGAGTGAACAGGGCGGATTCCTCCACTGCGCTGCCCATACCTGTGGGATACAGAGCTTTTTCAATCTCAAACAGGATCGGGTTCCTGCTATTCGTGTACACAGTGCCAGCCTCCCCTTTGTGAGTGTATATCTTGATGACATTCAGCTCATCCTTGTTTGGAATCAACTCCGCCAACCGCTCAGCGCTCAGACTGGGAAAAGCAGCCGCAACATCAGCTCGCAGCTTTTTCCTGTAACGATAAAAGCAATTCCTCCATCAGTGTTTCGGTGGCTACGAGACTCTCACTTTTCCACTAGCGATGATGGCTCGCAGGGCAAACCCCCACAAGCCGTGAGGGCGCTGGGAAGAAACCAGACGTCCTCCTCGCTCCTACCCCGCGTCTCTGCCCTCCTGCCCCGCACAGCCCGCACACCGGCACTCACCGCTCGGATCCCTTGATGGCGGTGCTGGCCCTGACTCGGAACGCCTTGCAGAACATGGCGGCTCGGCCCTCAGCCCCCGGCGGCCGCCATGGCGCCGTGCGCTGCTCAACGAGTCCGGGCGGAAACAACCCGCCCGGCCGGACCGGCCCGAGGAAAAAGGGAAAGTTTGAGCCGCCGGGCTTTGTCCTAAGATTGAGATTTCTTTGTTCTGAGTGCTTTTGTGGCTGCCGATCGCTTCACACACACGGGAAATAAACCCCTGCCGAGCCGCAGCAGCGCCGTCGTGGGAGCGGGGCTCATTTCAGCATCGCCGGCGTGCGGGGGGTTCTGACAGCACTGAGCGACGCACGGGATGCCGCACGGTTTTCTTTCCGCTCGTAACACAATAATGCAACCCCTTTTTGCCACTCGGGTCGAAAGCGTGTTGTTTTAATGCAACAACCGCTGAGTTTGCAGAAAAAGAAAGCGAGGTCAGGGTGGCCCCGGACTATGATGCGGCTCTCAGAGAGCGGAGCGGAGCACTTTAAGATGGCAGAGGAGCCGGCTGTGCGCCGAGAGAAAACGGCCGCTCGATGCTCCCCAGGCCGGCCTCGAACCCGGGTCCTTGGGAAAGCGCGGCGCTCCGTGCCCCGCCCCGCTCGCAGTGCGCATGCGCGTTCAGGCGGCGGGCGGGGGCGCGTTCCCCTGGCAACGGGCGGCCCCGCCGCGGCCCGGCAGTTGCGGGCGGCCGCAGCCTGGCTGCCCGCCGCGGCAGCGCTGGACGGCGGCGGCGAGGCCGGAGGTGCGGGGTGGCGGCGGCGGCGAGACGGGGGATGGGGGCCGCCTCCCCCCGCCACCATGCTGCTGGGCAGGAAGCCGGAGGCTCCGCTCGGTGCAGGTGAGACGGGAGAGAAGCGGAGGGAGCGGCCCCTCGGCACCGGGCGGGACCCGCGGGGGTCGGCGGAACAATGCGGGCTGCGGGCGGGCGGAGCCGGGGAGCTGCGGGTATGGGCGTCCCGTGCTTGCGGTGCGCGCTGAGCGCTCCTTTTCTCTCCGAGTATTTCTCGGCTGCTGAGCAAACAACGCGACCTCTTTTACATTTATTTTTAAAATTTTTTTATTTTTTATTTTCCTCGCGGCAAATCTGCCGGCTTTAATTCCCCCGTATCGTTTGTACGGAGTAACCTACTTCCCAGCTAGTCCGATCAAGGCGTGTGCTCCGTTTGCATTGCTGCTCGCGATGAGGCCACTTTGGGATTATCTGCTTAACGCAGGGAGGGGAACGCGCTGCCTCCTGTTCCTGGAGGGTATATTTGCATTGCAAGCATCGATTAAAAAAAGGAGAATCTCTAAATTAAAGCAAAAGTATCAAACTAAGCTTCCTAAGCAGCGTTATACTCTGGTGTTATAACACTCTGAATGGCGTAGTTAAAGATTGTTTACTAATTATATGAGAACCTCCCAAGGAGGCTGTGGTTGCCCCATCCCTGGAGGCATGCAAGGCCAGGCTGGCTGTGGTTCTGAGCAGCCTGGTCTGCTGGTTGGCAACCCTGCATATAGCAGGGGATTGGAACTGGATGAGCACTATGGTCCTCTTCAACCCAATTCTATGATTCATGAATTACACCCGATCGTTTGCCTCCATACGTAGCAATGTGAATTGTCAATAACTGTATGGAACATTTCCAGCCAGGTTTGGAGACGGATTATATGACTCCTATATGAGGATAGATCAGCTTAGGTACCAAGAGTCTGCAAATGAAGAACACAGCCCCTCAGGACTGCCTTCCCTCGGGAGATCTAACGTGAGTACTTTGAAGTTTTCAGGTGGTGTTGCGTGGCTGTGTGTCTCATTATAGAAAGTAAAGGCAAAAGGTGGGATGTTGCTTTTACTAAGCACAAGAGCAATTTGTTGTTTTGTACAATGTAAAATCACCAGACGGTGTCAGAAGTCCTGTGTTATTGCCCTCAGCTTGTATTTTAATCCAACAATTTATTCTACAAATGGTTCAGGCGTTCTGCTGTGTCACCTAATGTGCTGATCAGTACATAAGTCCACACACCTTTTGCTTTAGCTGTTGCACGTTTCCATTTTAGTTTTCTTCAAGACAATCCCAGGGCTTCAGTGTAGGTTTGTGCCTTCAAACTTCTTCCAGAAGTCTTTCTTCTCTGAAAACTCAGGCATTATCTGCTGCTTTGTGTGCTAGCAAAATAGCTCCGCATGGGCTGAAGGTGTAAAGGTGTTTTCTTTATAAGCACTGTGTTTCCTAAGCAGATGTGGAGTTATTCAGTCTTTCCTCACATTGTCTCAACTGAACAGTGGTAGTTGTGTTCATCTGCACAGTGATCTGACCTTTGTGTGGTTCTTAGATTTGTTTTGTCTCTCGTTCAATTGTGGCAAAACTAAAGGAGCTTGTGCTTAAGCAACAACAACAAAAAAAAAAACCCACTATCTAAAAAATGGAAAATAAACTTTTCACTGAACAAGGTGTGTTTGAAAATCATCACCTGGTGTCAAGTTATTCAAACAGATATCAGTAATTAATTTGGTCTTTGCCATTCACTGAGCAAATACAGTAGCACAGGTTTCCCTTCTTGGCTGCATTGAGAAAGCAGAGGCAATACAGAGATTTGGTGAGCAGTAAATTTTGGAGGGAGGGGGGCAGATGAGAACACCTAAATGCAGTGTTTCAGTCTTAGTGTCACTACAACTGCTCATAACTAATCAGAAATCAATAGGCTGGAACCATCCAGTGAAGTGCAAATGTAATTGTATGAATGTTTTGTTTGCATGGTGCAACTCATCCTTCGTTTGTATGTTGTCCATCACAGCTGAGAGCTTTTTAAGGCAAAATTAAGGGCTGTAAAATGGCCTAGTTTCACTCCTAAATATAAAAAAAAATAAATACAATCTCAATGATATCTTGCATGCTGAAGTGTGCAGGGCTGAGGACTGTGATGCTCAGCTTTAAAGGAGAAGCGTATGGATTTCAGTGATGCTTGGTTTCTTGCTTTCCAAGATTTTTGCATTGTGATGTAAAGTTACGTGAGAGCTGAGGATGCCTGCTACGTGCAGCTGTTGGTCCTTTTCATCTCCAGCTATATCAGAGAACATAAACATTTCTGCTTTGAGAATAGATGGGTTTGATTCCGTTTGTGGAAATAACCGATGCACTTTGGAGAAGAGAATTGTGTAGGAACTGGCTTGAGTGTTTACTTATAAAACTTCATCTGAAGTGAGAAGGATGTGAGAGTCTTTAATGCAGTGCCAGTTGTGTTGTCACTGCAATTTCCTGGCTTCTAACAGCAGCATATTTTATCAAGGACAAAGGAATACTGGGATTCGTAAGAGCAAGCTGCTGAAGGAAAGCTGGTGTTGCCCAGAAGTCATCTGACTTCAAGTCAGATGGAGCTGTGTGTGTATCCTGCTGTCCTGTGGCAAAGGGTTGTGGCAGTCACCTGAGAATGAGAACTCAGCCCTTGCTGCTGCCAGGCTGGATGTGGTCTGGTGGTGCACATAGCAGGGGGTTGAAACAAAATGATCGTCATGGCCCTTTTCAACTCAAGCCATTCTATGATTCTGTGATACTTGGGGATGCTGAGCCTGGTTTGGGCTCCAGAACAATCATTTCTTCTGTAAGAAATGATTGTGGCAGAAATACGGTCGTGAATTCTTTGTTTATTGAGGAAGTTAGAAGCAGTATTTGCTGCAAACAGCGCTTTTAGATGGAACGGGGTTTGTTGAGCTTTGGTGCTTTATCTTGTTTGTTTGTAAGCATGCTGGTTTTGTGTGCTGCACTGAATGGTGTTTTTGCTGGCTCTGGAAATACGCCTTCCTTATCTCAGAGGTTCAGCCAGGCTCCAAGAAAAAGGCGTTCATTCTAAACTACCAGGGCTGGGCTTTGCTTTTCTCACTCCAGACCTTCTGGCAAGGCGTGCCTCTCACAGAGCACCGAGGGTTGGGGCTGATAGGGCTCTGGGCACTGGAACTCAGTAGGATGCATGCAGTGGCCTCACCAGCCTTCCTCTGAAAGCAACTGCTGCAGGAAATGCCCATCTTTTGGGCTTCTGAGCAAAACACGCAGGCTTTGAAGAGATGTAGCTTGCTTTTGGTGAGAACGTTCACTTCTTTTATTTATGGGCTGTGCTGGGATGTTAGATTTTGTGTAACTAAAAAGGAATTTGGTTTTATTGCTATGGCTCTGCAGGTTTATTTATATTTTTGTGTGATTCCTGTGCAGCTATTTCAGTTTTTGGGGATTGGGTTTGGCATGTGTCTCAAATCTTTATTTTTAGATTAAAGGACGGAATGGAAAACAGATGTTGCTACTCCAGTCTCGGCTTCTTCCATGTTGTGTGGGATAAAACAACACCTCTTTGCTGTCTGTCAGCATGGAGCATCAGTGGGGAGAAGGGGGGAATAACTGCTGTGCAAATCGTGGTCTGAATTCCAGGGAGCTCAGCACTTACTTGTTTGAAAATATCAAACTTGAAGCTTCTTCTCGTTCTTATTTGCTATTTCTGATGCAAGTATTTTAACATATGGCAGTAAGTGGCAGTGGTTACAGGCTGCTGCCAGAGAATAAAAGATACTCTTGATTGTGAAGGACTTCCAAGTCTGTTTTCTCGTAGTTATTCAGCTATTGTGATTCCAGAGGGACTGTGGTTATGATGTGTTTTTCCCCTTTAAAAAAGAATAAACACAAAACCAAATGTTTATACGTATGAGAAACTTTATATACAGAAGATCCATCTTGTCCTGCTCTCATCCTTTTGCTTTCTGTTCAGCTTCGCTACACCAGCCTGACATCATTTGCTGTTGCCTCTTTGTCTTTGTGGCACGCTTGTCCTTGCAGTGCTGCCAGCACTTCCCTGCACATCCATGTCGTGCTGCTTGTTTCAGACAGGTGCAGATTGCATCTGTCATTGGTTGTGTTTGCTGCACCCGTGTTTAAAGCTAAACATAGCCGTTCCCCTGGCTGTTTGCTGACTGTGTGCATGCTGCTGGAGATAGGTATTGTGTCCTTGTTTGAATGTTGGACTCTCTAGGGTTTTACCCTGCATGGGCTTAAAAACGCATTTGTGCATGTGCTTGTTTCACTAAGTTGCATTCTCGTTTGTTTCCCTTCTGTAACTACACTTTAACTTGAGTTAGCTTAGGTAGTAAGTGCAGCATTCTATATTTGTTCCCAGTGGAAATGCAAAACGTGCTGGTGTTACTGTTTTT